TATTTTCAAAAAAAAAAAAAAAAAAAAAAAAAACATCAAAACTCACAAAGTCACCAAAAAAACTAACATCATGTAATACTATCATGACCATAAATAATGCATATGCAGGGTTTATGGTTTCATTTTACTTAATGTTGTACATACCTGCAGTTACAGTACATGTCTGCTTCCTTCGGCTTATCTCTCTCTCTGATTTTTCACCGTTATCCACTTGTCCTTTTTCTTGCATATAACACAAATATCAGGCAAATGATGTCTTGAACCAGTAAAAGCTGGAGATGAAGAGCAAAATTTTTAGTACCTTTGTTTATGTTTCTACCTGACTGTAAAATTTAATCTGTTACTAGTACAGGGATTTTTGTGTCATACACAAACACATGAATATTATTCTATAAATCATTATCGCACGTAGTAGTTAGGAAGCCTTGTAATGTATATATGAGTAAAAACCTTACCCTTTCTTTCTATCTTTCTCGCTTGCTGGACATGTATTTATCTGTGTAGTATCCCTTGTAAAACATGAGACTAGTGACCCAGATTAGGCATTGCGTGAAATTAGCAAAGACAGTTTGGTCCATACATGTGCAGATTTAAATCCAATTACGTCCTATGATTGGACAATGCGTCCTAAGCACCACCATGTTTAACCCTATGCTTTGTAACCTTGCATTACTTAGTGTGGGTGCTTGAAACTGAACACCGTTTTCTTGTGCAGCTTTCGTCGAAGGAACTCTGTGGATACCGGTGGCAAAATACTCATTCATATTTGTTCTGAATCGACTGTCCATCAGCGTGATGTGGGAGTTAAACAACATCTCTCAGGCTTCAGATTTTGCCTATTGGGGCATTTTTTTTTTCTTTTTTTGTATGTGTGCCCATCTTGCTGCCTAGTTTATATTTTCTAGTTATAGAGGATGGATTTACATTTTCTACAAAGCTCCTATCATACATTCACATTTATTGAAAGAAGATCATTATAACTGCTTCTTTCACAGAAACCACAGAACTCTTCAAATACATATACAAAATAGCTTGGGCTTTATTCATGATTGCAACAAATGGACAGCTAAAAAAGACAAAAAAAAAAATAGAACTTTGCAAGCTCTATCCAATTATTTTGCTCGTTAATAATTTTATACCTAAGAGCATGACTTAATGAGCATGAATTTGGTGCAAATCTCATATTTTTAAAGTATGACTAACCCACATACTTTAAAAATATGAGATTTGCACCAAATTATATTCAGAATTAATATGATAATGTATTTAAAAATACTAGGCTGCCATTGGCATGAAATTAACTTGCTATATTTCCAGCTGAACCTGCAAGCTTCAGAACACCATATAATTAACACAATTATTTTGTGGGATGAATATTAAAGAAGCTGCATCCATTCTCACATACATTTAAAGTTGAACGAACTACTTGAAAATACTCCAAATTTTTAACTACAACCATCCATTAAATCTAATCAAAATGTATAAGAGAAATTATACTGAACAACTTCTTAAGGGTTGAATTCTGCTATCAAAAGCATAATTCAGGCTTTAGAAGGGTTTTCTTTTAAAGAGAACGTCCATAATAAGCACTGAATCATCAATCCTTTCACTTCTTACAATTTTCTTGACTGAGATGGGGAAATTTTGTAGGGTGGATATCTTCTAGTGAGAAGAATTGATCATTTTTTTTTTTCAAATGCAAATAGGCAATTGTCACAATCAACCGAGTTAAATATAATGAGCCCAGATGCATCAATACAATGTAATAATCATTCAAATACTTTCCAAACAACAGTGACATGGTTACTTGGGGTTGAATAAATTTTAAATGGAAATTTTACTACATGTACATTTGTTTCAAATCATCTACATATTGACAAGGAACAGTCTTAGACTGCATTACCAGAAATTTAGATTGATCCATCTGGATCGACCTAACTCCCTGGGTGTTAGATCAATCCACATGGATCGACACAGCTCCCTGGGGGTTCACGCTAAATTGCTGTCAACCGAGCGCACAACAGTTAATTACCCCCTTACAGCTTATAGTTGGCAGAACAGATATTTAAGCCGGTTAAGCGGACACCAATCTAGTGAGACTCCTCAGGAGGATAGATTGATCTAAATATCTATGGGAATGGGGTCTTACAGATTTTTTGATCACTGATTTAGTGTGAGTGCCTCATTTTGACACCAAATATTACAATAATACTATTTTCACTGCCATTTTTGTCTTACCACTTTAATAAGAAAAAGGACTTTTAAATAACAACTATTTGTTTGAAAAACAAAGCAAATTAACCTCAAAGCCACAGTTAATGTAGTACTAATAATATCCTATTTGAATTTTTACATTCAGTAATGAAATAACCGTGACCCTGAATTTTAAAGACTTGAAAAAAGAAGCAAGTATGGAAGGCAAAAATTAAATCTTAATGTTACAATGTCTTTACCTTTTGTACTTTGCACAGTATACCAAATACAACAAAGTTATGTAACTTATCATACAATATAATAACAAATTTAAAATGTCTTAAAGCTCCCACCAATTTGGGAGACATTGTACCTAGGCAGTAATAGCTGATTTTTTGGTACCCAACATCCCAACAACAGTGTCACACTTAAAAAAGAAACTGATAGAAGAAAACTACCATTCTGCTCCGCAGACATGAAGTAAATAAAATCTGAAGCATTTTCAACAAAATATATAATATTATATATTTACAACCACTGGCATGGGTTAAAATCATGTTTTCTTATCAAAAGCATTACCTCTGGACCACTAAATATGTATAGATGGCCACAAATCATTAAGCTGCTGCCTTAAACTCCTCAAACGTGTACAACAAAATGTCACCTCTGACCCAAATAACCTTGTCATTATCTGTAAATGCTCTTTACAAAAAAAAAAAAAAAAAAAAAAAAAAAAAACTTGGCTTGTTTTCAAGCAGAAATGTCCATAATATCCACACAATCTGACCAGTATAACATACAAAATCATAGTGTACATCATTGACTATGCTGAAAATTACAACTCATTACATTGGGAAGCCTAAGTGACTGTAAAGGAAGGGTATAGAAAGACACCAGACTCATGTACAAATTGGCAAGAAAATACCTTTTAAATTTAGCAAAAAAAGTTTGATTATTCTGCCTTAAGCATATACTTAATTGTTGTAGAATAAAATGCTGAGGCATTTTTTTTCTTCAACACAGACTTTCTTTTATCTTTACCAATCCCAGTTGAATTAAAAGATGATGGAGAAGACACTGCAGCTGTCCTCCCGCTTACTGTACATGTTCAAACTCAAAAATTCTACAGTCCACTTCCCTGCCTTTGGTTAAAAGTTTTTGGTGAAAATAAGATAATAACAGCTTCTATATCAACAGGTTGTCAGTTTTAGAGACAAAAGAAGCCAAAAACTCAAGCATTCGGTATTCCAAATCCTACCAAAATCTTATAAAGCTAATTTTCAACCCCTCCATTATCAGAAAAACATACAGATTACCAATAAAAGATATGCCATTCACAGGTTTAATGTAATTTTCATCTAACCTTGTGTTCCTTACATTTCTTGTCAATTGTCTCCAGCAAGTCACAAACATAGATGTCACCCCTCTCAAAGATATAACATAATAAGGTCTTTTTTTACAGTTAAGTCTATTGACTGCAGATTTTGTTTCACAGAGGGCTTGGTCCAAATATTGCACTAAGTGTGGTAAATTGAGCATGTGATGAATTCTTAGGGGGGAATACCTTGCAAATACTCACAAAGCACATTATCTGGCACATAGTATAAAAATGATAAGATTTTCTATGTGTCACGGATACAATTTCATTCAAATTTTGTGAACAAATAATTGGCAATAAATTAAAATATGTAACAGATGTGGTTTTGGAGTCAAAATATTTTTTGGAGATTTCTGCCATTTCTCCGACTCGGAACATCTATCTACATAATTTCAAGGCATTGTTTATCTATCAAGAGGATACAAACTATACTTTAAATTATTCTGATGAGACACAGTTCAGATTTTATCAACAAAAATGTGGATTTAGCCTTTTCTTTAAATGGTTTTCTGACTTTTATATCTCTGTATCAAAAACCTTAAACAAAAAGCCTTCAACAATCCTGTACCATCACTGAAAATTTTATGATTGTCTATCAAATGATTAACAAATAGTGTTTGAAACAAATTGTGATCCTGTTCCAACTTAAAGAAACCACCCACTAAAACACTGGGGCAGAACTCCATTGATACTGCCAGAAAAGCTTGAAAGATAGTGAGCTGTGCAATGCACATTAAAATCAAGGCATGAGTAAGCTCAGCATCTGTGTTTTATAACATGGGCACATTTGACACAAAGAAAGCCTGAATATGTAGTTACTCTGTGAAGATATTATTTTAAGTAAACTGTTAGTAAAAAAAAAAAAATAAATAAATAAATAAATAAATAAAAAATAAATAAAAATAAAAATTCTTTTCCCAACACTGGTCAAAGAGATATCCATTGTTTTCAAAACTTACATAATACTGGTGTCCATTTCTTAATATGTTTACAAAATACAAATACACAAGACAGCTTTAACCACCCTCATTTAAGTTATATCCCAATTCAAACACCATTAAAATTTTTATTTTAGACCAACAGTAGAATTTTAATATATCAATCCTTCTCATAACCATAAATCTGAGTAAAATGTATACTATTCATCTTTCCTCTTGACAAAATGGTGCATGAAAATAGACTGACACACCTTTGTTACATAAGATTCTTAGTTCTTATGCTTTTGCACTGCTTTAAAATAGGTGATAATAAACCTCATAACCTTGGTAAACAAGCTTTACTTGACGTATGAAGGTAATTTGACATGATGAAGTATTAGAATAAAACGTGACAAAAACAGTTTGTGAGTAGCATAAACNCACATCTGTGTCTGTACATAAAAAAGAGAGACAAAATGCCAGAGTAATTTCTCCACTCTACCTCTGAATTGGGAGTCCAATACCCCTGAATGACATGTCTCTTGAAATGATTGTGTAGAAAATCTTCCTCTGTCATTCACAAAGATAAAATACAAATTAACATAAGTATATCTATTTGCAAAAAAACTTGATGTTTGCCATAAGCGATTCTCAATCTTCTCAATACATAGGCAAACTTGATTTGAAAAGAGATGACATTGAATCTACTTCTTAATTTTGGATGTAAGATAAACATAATGAATGAGCCTTACACCCAGAAGCAAGGTATTCCCCACCTAAAGTCAGATGCAACAGCAGCATGCGGCAACACTCATGTTTTGTTCATTCCAATTACAATTTATGTCATTACTTTTAATTCTGCAAAACATACTTTTTATTTGGAAGAGTCTCCATTAGAGAATTAGAAAAATTATACGGGGAGATGATCAGCAAAAAGAAAATCAAATGCCATGTTTCCACTCCTTATTTTATTGAAAGCCACTTGGCTTATCTGTTAAGCCAAATGTCTTCTTATCTCTCCAAAACTGGCCAGGTCTTTTTTTCTGACACAACCATTGAGAGAAAGAGAGAGAGAGAGAGGGAGAGAAAGAGAAAGAAAGTAAGAGACAAAGATGAGACGTACACAAACATGCTGCACAATTATTCATGTCCTAATGCTACTAGATGTGATAACATTTCATCACAATCACGCATATCACAGTTTCACCAACGATATCTTCCTCTTTCCATTTTTCTGCACAGGAGCAAGCCAATTTCCTATTTCAAACAACCATTCATTTCCTCTTGGCATGTAACATCTCCATTAACAGAGTCTGTTCTGGTACATCCCCATGAAGGTGTCGATAGTACAGATATTCCTCAACCCGTATACTCAACAATCGAATCTCAGACATTCGCAGCAATAACTGTCCAAATTTATCCTTAAAGTCTGGGTTAAACAGCATACTGTACTCCAAAAGGGTCGCGTTAATCCGCTCTTGGCATTGTTCGACATAACGCTGCTCCAAGACACCGTTTACATCTATAACAGACAAAGGTGAACTATTAAAACTTGAAATATCTTATAATCGAAGTTTTGGAGAAAATAAATATAAAATTCTATATTCTTTCTAAAATACAGCACTCAAAAATAAAAAAAAAGGTAAAAGCTTTTGATAAATTTAAAAATTCCCCCTAAAAAAATAGTACAATGAAAATCATAAATTGACAAAGGGTGGTACAAAATTCAACATTTAAGCAGGAATACACAAAGATTATCAATTTATTAAAAAAAACTATACAAAGCTTTAAACTTCAAAAATTACTATACACAAATTTTCCAGCTGATCTCTAATTGATGTTGTGGTGTACATCGATCAGTTCACTGATGGGGATTTTAAATTCCAAAATAATCAATTCACTTTGCTATTTTAAAATGCAGTTTTTCAACAGTGATATCAATATCTTTACTTAGAAAGGATGTCAAATACCTGATATATGAAAACCTGTCATTACATATGAAAGCCCACGAAATGGCATTTTAATGAGTCCTGGGCATATTTTGCCAAATATTACCTCCAAGCAATCACATTTCCTTGCAAAACAAATTTAATCTGTTTTTACTCAAGTGTTCCATTTCTAATATGTTTTGTCTTTTAACACTTTTCTTTTGGGTTGTGCAAAAGTTCATCCAACGGGCTCATTCCCATTGAAACTACCTGTCTATATAAATTGATTCATCTCTGTGGGGACTCTCGCTAAATGTAATCAGTTTGCCTGGCTTACCTGGATTGAGCAATAACAGGTATTTAAGACACAGGTATTCATTGTGATCCAGTTTCAGCTCCTGGAACTTTTTGACTAGATCTGACAGGCGGTTCTTGATATCTACTACATCGAGGGAGTTCATATACTCTGCCCTTAGCAGTTGCCCTGTTGGCTGAAATGACAAGGAAAAATGTCTTTATATATCCACATTCTGTGTGTGTGAGCAAAATGAAGAGAGCTTGAACACCTTAAAAATAACACCTTTTATCCCCCCTCCGGAGTTATATAGTCTGTGTGATATGCTCTGAGGAGGACTGTGGTGGGATTTCAAGAGGGTGGGGAAAAGGATGAGGTTTCTAGCCAAAATGTACAGTTTTTTTTTTTAAGTTACATGTATATCCAGAATTTTGCTAAGGAAGAGGGAACAAGCATATAATATTGCATTGCTTAAAAACAGTACAATTCTACTATAATATATAGATGCAATTGCTACGTTTTGTCCCCTCCCCCTTTATTTGTATTGGGGGAGGGGCAGATGGTGCACTTTATGATTAGGGGTGAAGTGTCTACTGTGCTGCCCCCACTCTCACCTCTAAAAAATTCTGCATTAGATGCACTGTCTTAACAATAAACTAATGTGAATACAATAAGATTAAAGCTACTGCACAAAAATGGTTCATAACCAAATGCAGGGAATCAAAGACACTAAAACCAATACATAACCAATGAGGGATGGCATGCTATCTTACCAGTACTATATCAGATGGCCAACTTTTGTTTTTCATTTGTTTAAAAAGGAAGTCCATAATCAACAGCTCACTCCACGAGTTCTGAAGCAGCTTCATCTGATCTTCAACCTGAAATAGTATATATATAACATAAGCAGCTGCAATAATAGCAAAATGTTTTTTTTTAATCTGTAATTTGTAGCAGTGAGTGTTTATCAACTAGGACAGTGCATAATCACAATGCTCAAAGAAAACAATACCTGTTAGACTTTAATGCAGCAAAAAAATTCATCTTCCAAAAATTTTCTCCTAATCACAAAGGTTTACTATGCGCAATAAAGTTGAGAAAATTACACACTACACACATGCATTGTCTATATGTGAAAGCCCAGTTTTAAGATGCTAACACAACTACCACTCAACAACTTTCTTATCCAGATCACTGCTCCTATAATTTCAATCACATTTTTTTGCATATTTGTGGCCAAAACATCTCTAACAGAAAATCTGCAAAACAATATACTCTAAGAACCACCACAGGTGCAACCCTAGCTGATTTTGTATCTTGTAGGAATTTTTAGTACTACTGATCAATTATCAGGCAAAGATGAAGATGCCAGGTATTCATGTTACAACAAAGAAATGTGTGCATCTTTTTATTTTGAATCTCATAAAACATCAGAAATACCTCCTGACATTTTCAAGCCTTTTCTAAAAAAACAACAAGCAGACAAATCTCATCAAATAAGGTGTTTCATGGCATCAAACAAAGAGACCCAGTAACCATAAATTCAGTGTTCCTCAGTCCAACAAATCGTCACTGCACTTTTTTCAATTTCTTACACTTAAACAATACAACCTTTGGCCAACATGAATGTCAGGTAAAGTGATATATTTAAGGGATGAACAGTTTTTTTTTTTCAGTCTTATAGCACATAATTGTGCCTAGCGTACCTTTAAGTCTTTGAAGAAAAGAGCTGCCCTGGCCCAGTCCACTAATAAAAACAGCATCTGATCAGCCAGCTTGCACAGAATCATCAATAAAGGCTGGACATCCCCAGAAGCAACCTTTGGGATCTGATCCAGAAGAAAGTTAATTACTTTATTCTCCTTTGTTCTATCTCTCTCTGCTTCAATTTTTTGTAAATCTTTCATTAGCTGAGGCAGTTGTGGTAAATATTGCTGCTGTTGTGGCTGACGCTGTTGTTGCTGCTGTTGTTGCTGACGCTGTTGTTGCTGTTGCTGTTGATGCTGGTGTTGTCGTTGCTGCTGCTGTTGTTGTGGTGGTGGTTGGGATTGCTGGTTTAGGTGTGGGACTTGCACCTGTGGCGCCATCTCTACATGACTGTGGGCAACAGGATGTGATAGAAGTCCAGGAGAATACTGAGAGGAGGGAAAAGAAGCCATTCCTTTGGAAGAGTCTGCCATGAAAATGCCCGTGGAGTCCATCTCTCCCTTCGGACCAACTTGGCCACCATTCATATTTAGCATTATGGGGCTAACCTGGTCGCGACTTTGGTCTTGGTCGTACAATGCCAAGCTGTCATTTATTGCTAACTGGCAGGAATTGAGAGAACCACTGCGTTGCCGGACCTGTTGCTGCTTCATGGCACGGTCTCGTTTATACATAGGTCCGAATTTATTTCTTCCTCCTCTCATTCTGTCCTCCCGTACAGCTATAAAGTTAAATTGAAAATTATTATTAAATATTATTAAAAAATGTATGTTCTTTGCTTGAGCATGCCTAAAACTGCAATATGGCCATTCTCAGTAATTCTTTCGGCTGCACAATAGCCCATTTTGGGTAAGAGTTGGAGGATTGCATCTGCTATTTTGATTTTTTTAAAAAGGTAATGGATAGAGGAAAATTAAATTTGGAGTATGGATGCTGGGCAAGTGCAATTGCACAAAAAAAGACTTGATTCTTGAAAAGATAAGCTGACTGTGGGTGAACATTAACAAGAGTAGGAAACTACTTAAATTAAATTGTAATTAAAAATAAATATTTCAGATATTTTTAGAAATATGGAACTCTAAAAAATCCATGTAGATGAACCATTTGATAAAATGGAGGACATTTAGGTGTAATCTCTGAGTGACACTTAACAACAATGCTGAATTAAAAAAATGTTATAAACATGACCTGTGCCCATTTTCAGACATCTCATTTTTCTTTCATCATATTTCTTTTTAAGAAAAATTGAAAGATGAGATGCACCAGGAATTTCACAGAAATATTTTATGCAGATAAGATCTTTAATCTTTTATTAGTTATTCATGCTAGTATGTAGAGTTGGTTTAATTGAGCAGCACGCATTATCTACTGTGGCATTCTGCCACTTCAACATGTTAAAATCTGACAGAAATCATGCGGAAACAGTACCTTCTAACTTCATTCCAACTAGTAAGCATTTCTGAAATCTACAATATGGACAGCGTTTCCTCTGACTTTTGTCTATGTGGCAGCTTTGGTCATCTACGCAAGAGTAGACTTTTTTATTCTGGACTGTGCGCTTGAAAAAACCTGCAAAGAACAATTGAGCAATTGAGCACAAAGCCAATACTGTTCATAAACCCAGAATTTTATAGTATTTAAAATATGATGATGAATGTGTTCAATAACAATAACTGGTTCTATCTGCTTCATTTCATATCATTATTGTAAAACGGGAGAAAATTAATTGATAATAAGGTTTCCACAGAAAACACACATGCTCTGGTAGTCTACTGACAAAGTAAATCTATTTCTAGAAACACGTATCTCCTATTATAAACCCTTTAAAACTAATTAACAACATTTCATTGAAAAATATGTCCAAGTCAACTAAGTGCAAATTAACTCTAACTTCTTAAATAATTAGCAGGTTTTTATTACAACCGTTTTGAGCATCTGTACTCCATGGTGGGCTGTAATACACTTCCACTGACACATTTTGAAATAAAAGATTGAATATCAAAGGCCTAGGAGTTTAAATCATGGGTTTTTATCTGACACTTTTTTAAAAAATGTCCCAGACTTACAATAACAGGCATATTAATATTAACAAAATGGTGGCAAAAATGAATTTTCCTGAAAATGCTAACACTTTTCCGCTGAATCACCAAGGTCTACCATGGCAAAAATTGTCAACAAACTTACATGAACTGTGAACTGTTTTTTCCATTCTTCACTTCTCATTTTTGGGCTACTCTTGTAATTCGGATGAGCAGATAATTTCATTTGTCACAGTAAAAAGTTAGAAATTAACAGCATAAATATCCGAAACAATGAGAAATTTGCTTTAATTTCAAGGAGACTAGAAAACATCTTTTTTCACTACATTAAGCCCTTGCACGCACTGGATGCCTTCAGGACACATTTTATCACATGTTGTGACACTTGCAAATTGTTGTGTGAGGGATCTACTTGGCTCGAGTTAACTAGGAAAAAATCCTGGAATCATGATAAAACACACTACTAGCTCTCTTTTGTCACATGTACAAGCTGTGTGTTGCCTTAATCGGCCAGGCAAGCTTCTTTGTCAATATGATATTTTTTCCTCTTCATTTACCTTTATTGCTGTCATAGTTTTTTAATCAATCAACCCCATGAACTATTTCACATGTTACTAGCGCGTGGTTCATCTTAAGGCCACACAAGCATGTTTTTGTTTCTTACTAGCCAAATGAAATCTATCCACAATATGACTGAAAGGATGGCAATTTTTTCATATCTATAGAAATTATAATTTCAAAAAGGAATAAAAAGGGATAACAACTCTTTGTAAGAAATCCATATTTTATAATAAATACATTGTAAACAACTCATAAAAATATAATACATTCTATTAAACCACAAAAATGGCAGTTATAGCAATTATTCTGAAATCTGTGCTTGTCATCTGACCACGTGACCTCCATAGATGGCAATACTCTGTAGTAATCTCTTAAGAGATTTATTACCAAAAACTTTTGAAAAAAAAAGGACTAACTCTGAATCTAGAAATGGATTCATTAACCGTTGGTTAGTATGGGAAATTGTTGTTAACCCCTGGAAAATTCATTTTTTGGCCAAAATGAACAGTGGTTATCCTTTTAGGCAACTGGTGAAAATACTAAATTAGAATTTAAAACCATGGGATCATGATTGTTCACAAATCATAACAACAGTACATCCCTTGCTAAACTGTACTTACTTAATTATTTTAAATAATTATTTTTCAATACTGTGCACACCAAACATACCACAATATTAGGCATATTGTTTTTTAATTTGATCCTTGAGACATAACTAAACCTTCAAAACAATAGTTTTAAAATTCATATTACGACCTTTTGACATCGTCTTTCATTGATGATTCTTTGGCAACTGCCAATGCTGATGTTTCCCTGGCAATTGACATGTTAGTGGAATTAGCCAGAGCTGATATTTTGGCCTCATACACCAATGGTCAAACTCAAATTGTTACAGAATGTCTCTGTTGTCGGGTCCGACATAAAGATCATATGAAGTCGTATGACGTAATGTCTTGTAGTCTAATAGCTCGAGTAATGCGGCAGTCTCTGTGTATGACGCCGAGGTAAAGAAATTAATTATACAATTAAAGGTAGTTAAAGTTTGCGTCATGGACCATACATGTAGATAAGGAATAAGGATATAAGCAATACCTTGAGAGAGATTGGGGAGTCATGTAGAAGGAAGCAGCAGAGGAGGAGATTGGAAGCGACGGAGTACGGAGCTGACGAGTTAAGAGTTGGAGACTTCATTTAGAATATGTAGTTACCGAGCGTCAACGAATAAATCATTTAACTGGTCATTATGTGGATTTGGGTTTTCTTCGCGCGACCTTACGTAAATCTGACACGAACCGTGGAATCTTTGGATTGCGTTATCCACCAAGTTAGTCTAAAACGTGATGTCCTATTTCGAGCCCACGCTTGAATTAAGCGTACAAAATTATATAAGTTTAGGACATTCGTCATAGGTATATGTAAAAGGTTCATTACACTGTAACATTGTAGAGTGCTTGTTACCGTTGATTTGTCCCGTATCCATCACTCATTACACTGACTACCCACTCAGGAATTACAAAGAATTTTAAAGTCTTCTCCCTTGAATCAACCAGCTTCCAGTTACAGTTCAACTGTTGCTTGATAAGGCCAAAATGAACAACTAAGTACTAGTAGTGCTCCCTTTTCACACCAAATGTAAAGTTTATGGCATCGCTCCAATTTCACCGGTCCCAAACATGTAATTCTGCTAGACCATAGAGAATTTCACTTCCTTTTGATAGTTACAGATTCCTGTGATGTCATTGATTGTACCTTGTATGTGAAGGTGTTCATCAATTCTATATAACAGAATTTACATTTAAGTATACACACTAAGTATTAACCTATTTCAATATGGTACCTATGTAATTGTTTGGTCATAGTCTATGTAAAATTGTGCTAGAACTGATAAAGATTATTATTATTATTATTATTATTATTATTATTATTATTATTATTATTATTATTATTATTATTATTATTATTATTATAAAGAATCTGAATCTGAATCCTTTTACAATCTCCCAATGTACCGATCAAACGTGATCCAGTGCTACGGTGATGTGGAGCAGATGGGCTCCATTTAGATGGTTCTTTAATAAAGATTATGAAATCATCTAATTTATATGCAAGGGATTTGGAGTTGCTTCCTGGACCAAGCAATGTAGCTCACAGTTGTAATAAATCGTTGTGTGAACCCTAGAGTCACTCCTCCCACTACTCTGTAATAGACCAATGACATCTCAGATGTGGTTGTCACGTGACTCAACATGTAATCAGCGCGATAACACAAGACACCAGCAGGTCGCTATTTTACTGAGAAGTGTCAAGACATAGGAAGAAACTTATGAAAGTTGAGACATGGATGTTAAGCGGTTCTTGGTATCATCACTATTTTTAAAGTAATATCCAGTCTAAACAGTATACCACTTGACGTTAAAAGGGCCTCTCACTAGGAAGGATACTGAGTAACAGCCCGATTCATTTCTGTGCTCCTCTCTAACTTAATTGTCTGAGGTGAGTGCAAATACAACATGACAAATGTAGTCCATGAAAATAAGTTAGTGCGCACTAACTCTACGGGACTCAGATAACAGACTAACACACCTCCTCCTAGCATTGAGTAGAATACTGTACAGAGAAGCTGGTGATTATATGAGTACTAGTACATCAGAAATAAGAGGAAGATTGTAGCGACAGTATTTACCATGTTTTTATGTCACTGTTGCATTGCTTTCTAAGACATTTCCTGTGCATAAACAACCCTATCTCTTACTTACGATTTGTCCTGGCACATCCTCTTTGTAAGAATCTCAACTTTGCAATATAAGGTTTTTGTGACTTCCCGTACTCAAGAGTCTTCAACTCAGCATTACAATGGTAGAGCACCTCTTGCATACCCCAGTGGCTATCTAATCTATTTTTGAAATAATTTATTGGCTCCGTATTCACCACTTGTTCTGGTATCACCATGTGTTTTCTTGTCTTGTATAGCAGCATTCACATTAAATATGGCAACCCACTTAAAAGCTTGCTGTCTAATCCCCGACACTGAATAGATTCCCCGCGGGGATTATGCAACAAACATTCAAGTGGGTCGGCCATATTTGATCTGCGTGCTAGTTCATCTGCTGTTGGGAATACGGCCTATGAAGTCATTTACTGCCATTTCTTTTTAAATCATCTAAGATGATAGCCATTGTGCCTTCACTTTGATATAGGTAACACCACAGCAAATTTTTTTATATCCTACCTTTACAACTTTCACAGGTAAGAAGACCATAGTGGTACCCGGATACTTTGTCTCCACAAACTGGACACAGCTCGGCTATGGGACCCTTCACATCATGGTTGAAGTTGAAGTCATCCATACTGACAGAGGTGGCTAAAATACAAACAAGAATGTCTTGTTAGCAAAGTTAACAACAGAAATGGCAGTTGCAATTGTGACAGACAAAAAAAAATGCCAAATATTTATCCAAGTCTGTAAGAACACATTAAAGGGATTAAGAAAAAGACTTAGGGAATGTAATTTCAACAATTCATTACTAAAAATAAGCAAAATCTCACTTTTTTCATTTATTAATTTTGATCCCTTTATTTTATTTATTTCTATTTAATTTTTCATTTAATTTATTTTTGATTACATTTATTTATTTAATTTTTTAAAAAGGTGGAAAAAGAATGCTAAGATAAAAAGTTATGACTGTCATTTGATAACTGTTGAAAATGTACGTTTAATGCAACATAATTCAAAGAACAATTCACAAAACACACATCGAACTGTGCTGGCACTTTCCTAATTTAATCATGATAATTAAATTTAGTGAGTGCTCAACTTAGTTACTTGACTTAATTACCCCCTAGCTGTCAGACAATTAAGCTGATTCCACTGACTGCACTTAGAGAGAATCCCCCGCAGAGTTGGACCGACCTAGATGGTACAATGTCCGAATCTGAATGGGCCCCAAGATCTGGTACCATTATCGAGAGCTGTGATGGAAGTATTGTATCATTAAGATAAAGTATGTTAATAATACTTCAAATGGATCACTAACAACTTCAGCAATCTACCTTATCATCCTAGATGTCCAAACAAAGTTGACCTGCTGTGCCCTTTACAAGCCATAGTCATGGGGTCAACAATCCACAGCAATTATGCAATAGGATGCCAAATGTATAGGATATTTTAACTGACTACAGTACCTGACTGAACTTATATAGCTGGGTTACTGCATTTTGCTAGTTTGTTTAGTGTAATAATCATGCATGTCAGCACAAAGACAAACCATAACAATGTGATTATTTAACATGTAAATCATGTTCCTTTTCATTAAAGTTTTTTTAACTTACACAAAGCCAAATAACTCCAATCTAATGCAGAGAATGACAAACTAATGCTATGACTACCAAAAAATTTCCCTTATATCCTTTAATTTTGCCATACACAATTATTTTTTGAAGAACCATCAACCTTTGTCATCTCCGTAAAAACTACCGTCTGCCACCATGATGACATAACTGCTTTCCAATATAATTAATTTTCACATAAATAATTCACTGCCGAGGTATGATACATCTACCCTATAAATTGCTATATGAAAACCTTCCTTTCAAATGAATGAAAAATGTTGAAAATATGGTAAGACAGGATGAAAAAAATGAAGAAAATTAGGGAATAACTTAGGAATATATGTCTTTAATAAAAAAAAAACATTGTGATTAATATTATAACAATGAAGAAGAAGAAATAGAATTTGCTACATGAAATAATGTCATTATGTAGCTAGCTGTTACATCAGATAAGGCACGGAACTGTTTACAGGCACTAAGCCAGACAGAAGTCGGCGATAGCATCCCATATTCAGCATCTCACTTATTCAGGATGTTTACAACATGACGTAAGATTAAAGTTCACACTGTCTGGTGTCTGTGAGCGCAGACAGCCGTGAACGCAGAGAGCGAAGAGCAATGTTCAGACATGCGCACGTTACGACGTTCAACTACAAGCCAGCCTTTGGTGACATATCATCGATCTCCACAGAGCCTGTATTAGCAAGCTGCTTCACCTACCGTGACTGTCAAAGCACCATTATCAATTCTTAGTTTACCATGATGTGATGTCTTTTTCACATATCAAATGTCATCTATTTTCATGCCACCCCCTCCCCCCCCCCCAAAAAAAAATTATAATAATATTTTTTTCCTTAAAATTTCTGGATACAAAGATATGGTAATGCTGTACACCATTTTAAATATTCATTTATATATTCATTCATTCATCATTATTACAATTATTATTTTCGATCATTTCCGGTTCGAAAAACCTGTATGTTAATATACAATATTGCTCTGTGTTTTAAAAGCCAACTAAAAAGTTACTGGTAAGGATTCCTTATGTACTTTTACATGGAATGAACACTGCATACACTTATGATATTACCTTGGCATAGAGCACAGGGCATAAGTATTACCAAGAATTCATAGCACATACTACATAACCACACTGTGCTCTCTCTAACATATATATAACACCATGACAGACACTCAGCTAAGGCAGACAAAGTGCTTGCTTCTTCTTGAACTTCCCTGTTACAGGCTGGCTCTTACTTGTGCAATTATTTTTTTTATCCAAATCTAGTTGCCCAGATTATCTAAGGCCCCATTCACAACAGATGATCCAGGAAGTAACTGGTCTGTAGATCAAATATGGCCAAACCCCCCCCCCCCCCCTTAAAAGCAATGTTGTATAATTCTCTTTTGATCTCCCTGCCTTCTTGCAGATCTATTAGTCCGCAGCTCAACTTGTTCTGAAAGCACCCTAAGCTAGTCACAGTTTGAAATTATATTCAAAGTTCACCCCTGTCATATTCATGTGACAAAATGTATTTGTAAAGTTTTCTCAAAATATCAATCAGTACAGCCATTATGTTTAACTTGCTAAGTTCTTGAAAAATCTTGAAATCAATTTAATCCCTTTTTTTACTACACAACTTTTGTAATCAAAATTCAAGCCTTTTAATAAAGTTAGTCTACTTCATGTAAAAATTTGAAAAGCAGCCCAAAGACATCTCAAGTGAATTTATTTACTTAGTTTTAGCATGTAGCATGACATATATGCAGATACCAAACAGACAATAAATTACAAAAAAGATAAATTAGAAAAAAAGATATAAAAAGAAAGATATTGTAAAAATAGTCTGATCGTGGCAACTTTTGAACAAATTGGAAGAAAATCAAACTGTTGCTTGGCACTGATGGAGTGAACATCATCAAAATGCATGCATTAAAAGCGCAAAAAAAAATCAATTAAAATTGAAAATAAAATCTGATCAAGCTGAATTTTAAAAGGATACACATAAAAAAGTCCAATCATGCTGTTTTTTTTAAACTCAGTCCTTTTGAAAAACACAAACCACTTAGTTTATTTGAAATAAAACAAAAACACTGTTTAGAACATCCAAGGTGAACAAGTGTTTTGGACAATGATGGCTACAGCAAGGGCATGGACAAACTTATTGATCAGAACAGACATAGAAATTTCAAGTGTCTTTACATAAAATGCAAACAATAAAAAATTTATTACCCCAAAATGACACAGATACTACTTACAATTATCCAAAATACAAGTTGCTATTGAGGCAAGACATATTCCATAACAAGATCTCTTCAAATAACTAATCAATTCAACAAACACAAAACAGCACCGAAAAGAATGTTGTATAGCAAGCACTTTGCTATTGATTAAAATTCTGACCCTGGTTCATTTCATCTTTTTTCTAGCTCTTTCAACATAGATGAGCCTACTCCTACGCCTTGATCCAACACCCCCGTAAAGAATGCAACAACTTTATAAAACAATAAAAATATGGTACAGTAGTACAAAATGAAATACATACAGTATATTTCCACGGGATGATAAGCTTGACTAACATCACTTGGATAATAACTGAAGCAAGAGCCGTAACTGGGATAGTACGCCTCCATTGTTAAAATAGAAATGAACACAGTGATACCATAAACAACCTTAAATGCACCCCGCTATCCGTGCTCCATTGGTTAATATTGGCGCACCTTTGATGATGGGTAACTATTCGCAGATTATAAGTTTTGACAATGAAATTTTTAGTCAAATCAGGCACAAGTAGCAAACAGACTCTACTCTATGTCATAAATGAAATCACAGTCTTCACTTTATTTTCATATTTCTCTTACAGATACACTTCCTATATTAAAATTTTTATTCTGATATTTTAGTTTTTACGGTTCCCCCTCATTGCATGACTGTGGCCATCAGTTGGGAGAAGGGAAACCATGGCTCAGCATACCGCTCAGGACAATTTCTGCTACTTCACCTTATGACATACGTACCAACAACAGAGGGGCTTCACAGAAGGGAGGAGAAATGAAAGAACAGAGGTAAGAGGGCTTGAGCCACATCAGAATAATATTGTTTCATCTANTACCAACAACAGGGGGGTTCACAGAAGGGGGGAGAAAAGAAAAAACAGAGGGTAAGGGGCTTGAGCCCCATCAAAAAAAATTTTTTCATCTAGCCCCCCCCCCCCCCCCCCCAATCCCCCACACCAAAAAAGAAAACTCCAAACTCATTGCGAATTGGCTGAAAAAACTTACCATGTTCTATTGGCAAGTAATTATCTATATTATTTCGTAATTCCAGCTAGAGTGGAAAAGGCTAATTATATATGGAAGAAAAGAAGGGGAATGGGATGAAATTAAAAGGAATCTTGATATCGAAATGGAAAGAGAGAATTTGAACAGGGAATGAAGTAGTGTCTACTGGGGTATGGAGAGAAAGGAGAAAAAGAGACAAGACCAAATAAGATCCACATATTAGAAGATGGGTTGCAATATGTACAATAACACCTGACTCATTAAAAATAAAATTGCTTAATTATTTACATGATCATTGTCATTGATATTTAGATTTGCATAATGAATCCCTACCATTTTCTTCTGATGTTTACTTTGAGTACTAACTGAATTCCCTTTACATAATCATAAAAGAAAGAACTATTCATAAATGAGGTGCACTTGTTATTTGCCAATTACAAATAACACCTTTGACAATTACTCTAGTATTTTATATTTGTCATTAAATACTTATAAACAAATACTAACGGAAAAGAAAACAAAAATATTAATCCGTAAAAAAACTAAGCCCTAGTAAACGAAGTGATGTGCCTGTTAAAAAAAACATATTTCTAAACTACTTATTGTTATGTATGAGGAACAGTTTGATTTCTCATTGTGCTGACACCATCATGCAAAATCAACATCAACGTCCACTTTCACACTTGTTCTGTGTCACCCGATCTGGATCTTGTATATTGTACATAAAAGTACATTTGCAGATGATTGACA